TTTTCCGTTTTCTGTATTGATAACATCCTTGATATCTCCAGGGTGTACGTTACGATAACTCTGCACGATACCCTGGATGCATCTACGTAGAGTGATCGTAACGTATACCCTGGAGATATCGAGGATGTATTGATCAGTGAAGTTGTTAATTCATGTGATATGGTTCGTTGTTTAACGACGCACTCAGAAATGTCCCAGCTATTATGGCGGCGGTCTGTAAATTATATGGACCAGGCAATCCAGTGATCAACATCATGAACATCGATCTACGCAATTGGGATACGGTGACATGTGTCACGATCCCGTTAGTCGCCTTCTATGACAAGCATGGGTTGCTGAAGACCAATTCTAACCTGGATCTTCACGGGTACATAAGAGCTCTGGGAGATCTGTAATCGCCAGATATATTTGAGTCATTTCTATAACTTTGGTGCCGGTTCTTACTTCAGATAATGTCGTAGATTAAGGAAACTGTGCCACGTATAGACTACTGCAACGGACTGTTGATCGGCCTCAGCAAACACAATATCTCCAGACTACAGAAAGTACAGAATACAGCTGCAAGAATTATTTCTCTGAAGACTAAATCTGATCACATCTCTCCTGTTCTCAAATCCTTACATTGGCTGCCTATTCAACAGAGAATCAACTTCAAACTTCACTGCATCACTTTCAGCTGTCTCCACAATCAAGCTCCAGAATATCTCACTGAACTCATCACAGAATACATTTCATCAAGATCACTTCGGTCCCAGAATCAGTACCTACTACAAGTTCCCAAATTCCACCTAGTTTCGAATGGGAAAGGGGCTTTCTCCTATGTTGCACCAACTCTTTGGAACTCTTTACCTTTAGAAATCAAATTCTGTGAATCTCTCTCAACCTTCAAGTCAGAAGTTGAAACACACCTGTTTCAAAGTGCCTATGACCGAATCTTTTACTCAATTCTTTTCAGCGCATTGAGCATTCATAAGGGTGTGGACATTTGCGCTTTATAAGTGACATTGTGTTTACAGATTAAAGATTGTATGCAGCAGAGAGGGTTCGGGTGATCCTGGCACAGTCAGGCTGGTAAGGCTCATCATCAACCCAGGGCCCTTGCCCCCTCTACACGCAGCCCAGACAGCAATGGGACTTCTCCCAGGAAACACTACCTAGTCGAACCCACCAAGAACTTTCCGGAGAATATGAAGGCTCCCAAACACTGCAGCCTTCTGCATTACCCAGAGTGTCAGAAGGGCTGTGCTCCCGGTGGAGAACCCGGGCACTCTCCTGATCTGCGCCAAGAGATCAGGAGGTACCAAACCAAGGGCACCGAGAACAATGGGAAGCCTGGCGACAGTGTACTTGGGATGCAAGCGAGACATTTCAAAGGCGAGGTCCACATATTTATCATGCTTTTCCTGAATCTTGCCAATCACATTGGTGTCAAAAGGGACAGAAAATTATTATGTTTTACAGATTAAAGATAATATGCAGCAGAGAGGGTTCGGGTGATCCTGGCACAGTCAGGCTGGTTAGGCTCATCATCAGCTCAGGGCCCTTGCCCCCTCTACACGCAGCCCAGACAGCGAATGGGACTTCTCCCAGGAAACACTGCCCAGTCGAACCCACAGTTACTGCATGGCTGAGCCATTGTTGGTTAAAAATGAGTGTTTGCACTTAAGATAGATGGGTGTTTAAAACTGACTGATGGTCACTGTAATGTCCAAGTTGTAAAACTGACTGATGGTCACTGTAATGTCCAAGTTGTCAAACTGACTGATGGTCACTGTAATGTCCAAGTTGTCAAACTGACTGATGGTCACTGTAATGTCCAAGTTGTAAAACTGACTGATGGTCACTGTAATGTCCAAGTTGTCAAACTGACTGATGGTCACTGTAATGTCCAAGTTGTAAAACCGACTGATGGTCACTGTAATGTCCAAGTTGTAAAACCGACTGATGGTCACTGTAATGTCCAAGTTGTAAAACCGACTGATGGTCACTGTAATGTCCAAGTTGTAAAACCGACTGATGGTCACTGTAATGTCCAAGTTGTAAAACCGACTGATGGTCACTGTAATGTCCAAGTTGTCAAACTGACTGATGGTCACTGTAATGTCCAAGTTGTAAAACCGACTGATGGTCACTGTAATGTCCAAGTTGTCAAACTGACTGATGGTCACTGTAATGTCCAAGTTGTCAAACTGACTGATGGTCACTGTAATGTCCAAGTTGTCAAACTGACTGATGGTCACTGTAATGTCCAAGTTGTCAAACTGACTGATGGTCACTGTAATGTCCAAGTTGTCAAAACTGACTGATGGTCACTGTAATGTCCAAGTTGTCAAACTGACTGATGGTCACTGTAATGTCCAAGTTGTCAAACTGACTGATGGTCACTGTAATGTCCAAGTTGTAAAACCGACTGATGGTCACTGTAATGTCCAAGTTGTCAAACTGACTGATGGTTACTGTAATGTCCAAGTTGTCAAACTGACTGATGGTCACTGTAATGTCCAAGTTGTAAAACTGACTGATGGTCACTGTAATGTCCAAGTTGTCAAACTGACTGATGGTCACTGTAATGTCCAAGTTGTAAAACTGACTGATGGTCACTGTAATGTCCAAGTTGTAAAACTGACTGATGGTCACTGTAATGTCCAAGTTGTAAAACTGACTGATGGTCACTGTAATGTCCAAGTTGTAAAACTGACTAATGGTCACTGTAATGTCCAAGTTGTCAAACTGACTGATGGTCACTGTAATGTCCAAGTTGTAAAACTGACTGATGGTCACTGTAATGTCCAAGTTGTAAAACTGACTGATGGTCACTGTAATGTCCAAGTTGTAAAACTGACTGATGGTCACTGTAATGTCCAAGTTGTAAAACTGACTGATGGTCACTGTAATGTCCAAGTTGTAAAACCGACTGATGGTCACTGTAATGTCCAAGCTGTAAAACTGACTGATGGTCACTGTAATGTCCAAGTTGTAAAACGGAACATGACAAAAAAATTCTCAAAGTTATAGACATGTCACAAAAAGGCCAAGAAGACTTATGTCGAAGCACAAGACTTATTACCATTGGTCACCCTACTGTATACTTAAACCAGTTTCTTTCTATAACGAAATGTTCTTTCTGTACAAGGAATAAATATGGGGAATGTTGTAACCTTAATAGAAAAACCACTAAGCAAGATTCTTATGACGCCCTTGGAAATCATGGTAAAGTGAGTGAGTGAGTTTGCCGCACTCAGCAATATTCCAGCTATATGGCGGGGGTCTGTAAATAATCGAATCTGGGTCTGACAATCCAGTTATCAACACCAAGAGCATCGATCTACGCAACTGGGATACGATGAAATGTGCCAACCAAGTCAGCGAGCCTGACCATCCGATCCCATTGGTCGCCTCTTACGACTAGCATGGGTTACTGAAGATCAATTCAAACCCGGATTTTCAAGGGCCAGATAATGTAAAGTGTTAACATGATTTGATAGCGATTTGATAATTGTGAGGAATGTTGTAACCTTGATAGAAAAATAACACACGAGCAAGAACCGTTTTGAGCTCTTTGAAATCATGGTAAAGAGAGCATTCACGATTGTACCTCAACAGTTGTTAAATGTAAACACCAAAACCTGGCGCGGTCGGAAAATTGCCGACGAGTTTGCATTGTGATGACATTATGTTATACTGGTAAAGTTATTTCTACAAGAACTGTAAAAATTCCATACCGGCCATGCCATGTTCCTCTTTGGTCAAACAGTATTTTCAACCCCATTCTTTTGGAGTATTTTCAACCCCATTCTTTTGGAGACCGACCCAAACACAGACATTCTTTACAAGAAAAAGACATACAAAATGAAATTTCTTTTCATCTTTTTAAAATAATTCTGAAAATATTCATTTTTATGCAAAACAGGTGACGTGTTGTCCGATTAAGATAATCAGTAAAACAATCTAACTGATTATCTATTCAAGACATCATTGACATAGTAAAAAAACCATTTTATAACCTTGCGAGAATCATCAATTTTTTTTGTACAAATCAATATATTTTTATACCTTGATCCCAAATTAGGTGAGGTGTATGTAAATCAACTTATCAGTGGCGTCTTTCTCAAACGACGTCAAATAATGGTGTCAGTTTATAAGAGTATTCATTTGAGGAGTATTCGTTAATAATGGCGCAACGTTAGTCAAAATATACTTACAGTCTGGTGAATGTGGAAATCAGTGGACAAGTATACCTGTTAAATAGGAATCTCTATTTCGATGTTACTTTGTTTTTATGTAGTAGTGAGTGAGTTTAGTTTTACGCCACTTTTAGCAATATCCCAGCAATATCACCAGACACCAGAAATGGGCGTCACACATTGTACCCATGTGGGAAGTCGAACTCAGGCAATCCGTGTGATTTTATGTAGTACTGTTTCATAATTTCTAATGATTTGTGATAATAACTGTTAAACAGTTTTGGGGTGGATCTTTGAGTTGAATGAATTGGTGTCTCATGAACCAAATAGTATGAAAACACATTTTAGCAATGTTCCAGCAGTATTACAGCCGGGAATCACAAGACTAGGGCTTCACACACTGAAGCCACGTGTTGGGAGTGAACCCGTCTCATGACATTCCAAAGCTTTAACCCAACCAACCTAAGTCTGACATAAACCACAAGCCACGGTGATGAAGCTCATGATCCTTGGTTTTCAAACCATCAGTTTCAAATGATTCACCATCTTATAATCACTGATGTTAAGATGTGCTCCAACAAGGGATTAAATCAGGGGCTCAGTCTCTGAGCCTCGCCTGACTGTGTGTCGTGTAGCCTGGATGTGTAGACAGACAGATCACACAGTTCACCACTGGGTTGCTTTGGTCTGGTTTGATTATTATAAGTCAGTGTGGTAACTTGGGACATTGCTGGACTGTGATATTCTAGCCAACCGTCTAGATAATCAGTCAAGAGTGACAAAAAAACAACCAGCCCTTCATTTGGCAAACACATGTTCATGTAGATGATACTTTATTATTATTATTATTATTATAAATACTTTTTATATGTAATAGTTTCATTTTCACATTCACACACTGTCTTTAATCTGTTTCAAGAAGGTTGCAACTACATCTTCTGTTGACGGTCCACAAGCCACGGGCTCAGACTCAACAACAGCCTTCTCAGCAACCGTCACGACTGGTTCATGTTTATAAATGACTGGTCCACCACGGAAGTGAGCCTTATCCCGTGATGCTGTGGCTAAATCCTCGGTGGCCTGATGCTGGGCTTGTAGGGCAGCCGTGAAACTGCCAGGCTGGTAGGGCTGAGCCAGGACATCGGGAACACCACCACACACAGCCGGGGTCTCACTGTCCTCGTTCTGGACAAGACGAGTGTCCAGAACTGATGTCCGTGGGACGAAAATAGGCTTTTCCTGCACATCTGTTCCAAAAGTTCCTGAACTGTATGTGTGTGGTGTTGGATAGGAAGATGGAGTTGAAGCGTCGTCTGCTCCCATCTCTGTCCCATAAGATGACCGTGGAGGTCCCAATGCGACACCAGGCGGTGGGGGAGGGAGTGAGGTGTTCTGTGGATGGATTGAGGTGGCTGGAGGTGGGACATAGTTGTTAGGGGGTGGGACATAGGTGTCGGGTGGATGGCCAAAGGTATTTGGGGGGGGAACTGAGATGTTCGGGAACTGAAGACCGACATGTGCCGTGGCTGACTCAGGAGGACAGACATCATGACTGGGATACAAGGATGAGCTTGGGGGAACCGGAGGCTGGATGCCCCACTGGGGAGGTGGCTGGAACCCAGGGGGAGGAACAGAGAAGTCTGGGGGTAAGACAAAGCCAGGTGGTGCCCCTGGAGGTTTATGAATCATGCTATTCTTCAAAATTTCTCCATCCTTTTTGTTGTCTTCCTGTGTACAGTCTGTTTTCCTGATGTTAGTTGGTAGAGGTATTTCACTCACATCAACGATACCTGGTTGACGTTTAGTTTCTATACTTTCTCTGGTCAGTATGACAGTTTTTGGTTTAAAGTCTGCATCAGAAATATTGTAGTGTTTGCTGATGGTAGATTTTTTTCTTTGGTGGTTGTCTATCTTGAGGGGAGTCAAAGTATGCAGATGGTGGCGCGAACTCATCCAGCCGTTCATCCCGGCGCTGCGAGAAATATCTCTCTTCCTTGAAGGCGAGGGTTTCTGACAGGAAAGAATAATGTTGATTATCAAATTTCAAGACACAATCACCACAGAATATGTATAAGTCTGGAAGCTACTTGCAGTCCTCACACAAAAATTACAATCAGCACAGTACTTCCAATGTGTCTACAGTCAATACAGAACTGGCTAAAATGATTTGACAATTGGAAATATTGTCAATAGGACAATAGTTTTGTCTGTCTGTCTGTGTCTGTCTGTCCATCTGTGAGTGTGTCTGTCTGTGTGTCTGTGAGTGCATGCATGCATGTCTGTGAGTGCATGCTTGTGTGCTTGCGTGTGTGTCTGTGAGTGCATGCGTGTGCTTGCGTGTGTATCTGTGAGTGTGTCTGTGTGTGTGTCTGTGACTGTCTGTGTGTGTGTCTGTGACTGTGTCAGTCTGTCCATCTGTGAGTGCATGCGTGCGTGCATGCAATCAATATACAACACTCACTCTCTTTGCCCTTGTCCCACTCCCTCTCGGGCGCCTCCTTCTTCCAGCTGTCATCCCGTTTAAGAGGCTCAATCTCAGCGTTATCCTGTTTCACCTCCTTCCTCTCTGGTACCCGTCTCTGTCCAGATAGCATCTCCTCCAACCTGGGTCCAATCTCTTCCTCCTCTGAGGCTTCAATAAGAACGTTTCAGATGTGGATTACAAGCAAATTTGATAGGTATCAGAATGGGATAGACATTGATGTTATTAAACAGGTAGAATGGATTGGACAGCATGCTGCAGTCTCATCATCTAGTAAAATAGGATTGTATCCAAAAAGCCTTCTCTTTGTATATCAATATTTTTCTTGATGAACATCTTATGTGGAAATTCAGCCTGGTGAAACAGACACTGCATTAACTATATCTTAGTTTCATAAGGGGGGCAGACACTGCATTAACTATATCTTAGTTTCATTAGTGGGGCAGACACTGCATTAACTATATCTTAGTTTCATTAGTGGGGCAGACACTGCATCAACTATATTTTAGTTTCATAAGGGGGGCAGACACTGCATTAACTATATCTCAGTTTCATTAGTGGGGCAGACACTGCATTAACTATATCTCAGTTTCATTAGTGGGGCAGACACTGCATTAACTATATCTTAGTTTCATTAGTGGGGCAGACACTGCATTAACTATATTTTAGTTTCATAAGGGGGACAGACACTGCATTAACTATATCTTAGTTTCATTAGTGGGGCAGACACTGCATTAACTATATTTTAGTTTCATAAGGGGGGCAGACACTGCATTAACTATATCTTAGTTTCATTAGTGGGGCAGACACTGCATTAACTATATTTTAGTTTCATAAGGGGGGCAGACACTGCATTAACTATATCTTAGTTTCATTAGTGGGGCAGACACTGCATTAACTATATTTTAGTTTCATAAGGGGGGCAGACACTGCATTAACTATATCTCAGTTTCATTAGTGGGGCAGACACTGCATTAACTATATCTCAGTTTTATTAGTGGGGCAGACACTGCATTAACTATATCTTAGTTTCATTAGCGGGGCAGACACTGCAGTTAGACATGCACTGACACAATCGGAGTATTGTTAATTAAACCCAACTCACTCACTCACTCACTGGCATCAAACCCAACTCACTCACTCACTGGCATCAAACCCAACTCACTCACTCTTCAATAATTATTAGAACTTCTGTGTACTTTCTTCACGTTCTTTGAACCAGATCTAATCAGTTGTCAGTAAAGAATCTACACTGATCTGTCTCATGTCAGAGCATTCAGAATAGAAATTTGGTCGTCCTTACTGACAAAGTCGTTCACGTAAAACAGTACGATATTGTTTTCTATCCACTAGAATAAAAGTTTGAAGAAAGTGTAACCTGTAGATAAGCCGACCCCCTTCTACAGACTGCAACTTTTGGGGCCTCAAAATTTGGATTATACAGGGTAATATATGGTAGATTAAACCATAGGAGCAAACACACATACTATTGACCATTATGCTCAAACAGTTATACCTTCTCATAAAAACAGGTAGAGTCATCTGTAAACTAAGAAAACAAATTAGTTTGGTCAGTAAATCATAAATGTCACCTGGCTCTTCAGCTAGTGGCACCCCCTCCTTCAGTCTTCGTCTCTGTTTGACCTTGGCCAGTCGAGCATCCAACATGGCCTTTCTCTTCTCTTTGAGCCTCTCTCGTCGACCTCGCTCATCTTTCGTCTATAACACATAAGTAGCCAGTCTATGACAGTATCAAACACAACAACATCAGTAGTTTCAACTTACCCAAAGTGTTACAACTTCTCAATACTTGCATATAAGTATTCATAAAGCTGATTGGATTGTTAAAGCAATAAGAAGCCATACAGTTGAATTACTAAAATTGGGAAAGTCGTGCGTCAATGTGACAATTCATTCACATTTTTATAAAGTGGCACATAATAAACACATGTTCTCAATAAGACATTCAACAACATTACTCAACTTCTCGCCAATCTTTTACCAGAAATCACTCCTGTACATTGTATGTCAACTGTCTATATATTGATTGGTGGGGCCAAGCTAACCCAGTGATTAGTGTTTCAGTCATATCATAATCAACCGTCACAACCTCGTTCTCCACAAGGGGCGGTGGGGTAGCTTAGTGGTTAAAAGTGTTGGCTTGTCATACCGAAGACCTGGGTTCGATTCCCCACATGGGTACAGTGTGTGAAGCCCATTTCTGGTGTCCCCCCGTGATATTGCTGGAATATTGCTAAAAGCAGTGTAAAACTAAACTCAGTCAGTCAGTCGTTCTCCACAAGGGGCAGTGGGGTAGCTTAGTGGTTAAAAGTGTTGGCTTGTCATACCGAAGACCTGGGTTCGATTCCCCACATGGGTACAGTGTGTAAAGCCCATTTCTGGTGTCCCCCGTGATATTGCTGGAATATTGCTAAAAGCAGTATAAAACTAAACTCAGTCAGTCAGTCGTTCTCCACAAGGGGCGGTGGGTTAGCTTAGTGGTTAAAAGTGTTGGCTTGTCATACCGAAGACCTGGGTTGATTCCCCACATGGGTACAGTGTGTGAAGCCCATTTCTGGTGTCCCCCGTGATATTGCTGGAATATTGCTAAAAGCAGTATAAAACTAAACTCAGTCAGTCAGTCGTTCTCCACAAGGGGCGGTGGGTTAGCTTAGTGGTTAAAAGTGTTGGCTTGTCATACCGAAGACCTGGGTTCGATTCCCCACATGGGTACAGTGTGTGAAGCCCATTTCTGGTGTCCCCATTGATATTGCTGGAATATTGCTAAAAGCAGTGTAAAACTAAACTCAGTCAGTCAGTCTTTCTCCATGTAACGGTCGACGGGGTGGCTGGAGAGGTATTTACTACGACAATGTGGGTATGTGGATCACTCTCTTCCAGCCACGGCAACACAACAGTTTTAACTAGTAAATGATTTCACAAGTCATAAAAGTTACCAACAGCAAATTTATTATAAACAATAGCAAACTTCTAACAGTAAAGACAATATGCAATCACGCCGCCCAAAGCGTTACTCTACAAGTTATAAGGTACAGTACAATTATATATAGTTACAACAGTAGAAAGATTTTACATGCTTCTGCGGTATAGTGCCTCCGGCAAGCGGTGTAAACTTACATGTTATTCAGGGTTTTCTTCCCTACGATCGAGATGCAACCATCCAACTCTCAGTGATTCGTCTGTCTCTCTCAACCGTTAATCGGAGAATCTCTCATCCCCGTTATTTCTATTGTGACGTAAAATCCTAGATCTGAAACCTTCTAAAACACCAGCTATGGCGTCACAACATGGCGGCCCATGCCGAGCGTAGCTTACCTGAGGCAGCACAAGTCAACACCAAAGTGGCTACATACATGCAGCCACATCAGGTAGACTGATGGAGCGAGGTTAAGAGATGGCTTGGATCTGTTTTACATACTAATTCCAGCGGTATGAGCTCTCGTAATCTAAAGATCACGGTAAACTATATGTTGCAGTGCACTGTACGGAACAACACTACATGGACAGTGTAACTGATACAGCTGGGAATTAGTATACCCAAAATCGTCATAAGTAGTAAAGATATCTATATAGGGTAATTATTATCGATTACCCTGTGCATTTACAATATCCCTCTTTTATTCTTAAATCGTCTCGATTTACTGACATAAGAGGATATACATATATACAGCGGTATGGTAATTATGATATATATACAGTACATTCATACAGATAATAATACTGGCATAATGTGGAATTCATATAGCATACAATCAATAAAACTTACCTACTTACCATTCCCAAGAATTGTTCTCAATCATCACAAATATACATATATCTTCCACAGTTCCAGAATAAATACAGTTCAAAACAGTAAGGTCCACACAGTTCAGCAGATCCACAGATAGTTCCAGAGATCAGGAGATAGTTCCAGAGATATCCAGAGATAGTTCCAGAGATATCCAGAGATAGTTCCAGAGTTGCTAAGTATAACGGCAGCTTACTTGGTCATTATTCGGATGTAGGCATCAGCTTGTCTGCGCAAAAGTTAACTGCTCGTTGAACCGTCTATCCTCTGCCTCGTGAAGGACAGCCATAGCTTCTCTGCCAGACCCGGATGAAATCATCCAGTGTCGGTCTGGTCAGAGAATGTCGAAGGTGGTAGGCCAGCTCGGAACTGACCTGGCTATCTGTCTCTCCAACTGGGAAACCTGACATTTCAGCCTGTATCTCAAGCTGGGCCCGATCATAGGCCAGTTCCCACTGGTTCGGAAATAACCTCACCAGCGGAAACTGGTCTACTCACTTTCTCAGTCGGCTCAGGGCGGACTGGACATCTACTAGTTCTGCTGGTAACTCCTTCTGTGTTGATTGGGAAGGTGCCGGTGTAACTTTGGCTGCCTTCTTTGACTTCGAGCGGGAAGGTCCATTTCCCTGGGTCCATGAACCCCTTGTTAGCGTTTGCCACAGTTGTCCTAGCCTTCCTGCAAGCCTGTATCATGTTCTTTGGGTTGGCCAGCTTGCTGGTGTGATGCCTCATATAGTGCGGGTCAAGTCCGGGAACATATGGTAGGTCGCTCGGCAATCCAGGACAGGACAATGGAAGATGGTCAACTGGGGCCTATGTCTCATTGTCCAGTGGCTGAAATGCGGAAAAGTGTGTGAATATGCTTCTCTCCGGACATGCGGGCAATCCATTCCAGACTGGAAATGTATATCCTGCTCTGCTTCTGCGGAAGGTCCATGTTTGTGTCGATGGTTGTGTTCTCATCCAGGATGAGCACCTCCTCCTGGGGAGGGTGAGGTGACAGATTTTTAGGTCCTGAAGATTAGAATTTACATATTACATAGTAGGTAGGATGATATAATATAAAAATGTTTGTTATGAGCGGGCAACAAGAGAGAGAGATCCATTCCCAATGTTATTCCAACAACAACATGTCTTTTTAGGCTTTAGGGTACTATTGGTTGATCCATCATCTACAATTTAGTCTAAGCTATTAAGCCTATGAACCAGTCATTCTATTTCCTCAATCAACTAATTTCTATCAGACAGCGTCCAACACGCCTAAATTTTAAATCTTGATAGATATCTAGATAACTGAATATACAGAATTCATAAGTGGCGTCAGCAATTCATATCTTCTCTTAAGTTTACACCCCACTATTATCAAATGGGTATAATGTTTTTATCTCAGTGTTTCAGGACAATGGACCATAGAGGCAGTGAACTCAAGCATTCTGCTTGGGAATGGAACCAGTTTGGTGGTTCCTTCCTAGGTATGGCAGTAGAAGCGGTCTACATGAACCACCGGGGAGGATTGTTGATGTCGTTTTGAATGGCGCGGTAGGTGATGTCATCAATCACCTTGGTGACAACCCAACCTTTCGACCATTTTGGAGTCAGTTTATAACTTAACTTGGTACTTCTGTGGGGGTTATACAACCACACAGGTTGACCAACTTTAAGTCGTGACTCTCTCTTGTTCCAACATCATAGCGCTTCTTTCGCACCTCTGAAGGCTTAAGTGCTTTCGTGCCGATTCGAAAAGCTTTTTCCAACTGCTGCTTGACCTCCTCTACATACTCATCCCTGGTGAGCTGCTGGTCATTAGGATCACCAGTAACCAGGTGGAAGGGCATGCGCTTGCTTTACCTAACATGAGTTTGTTTGGGGTTTGGCCAGTTGACTCATGCTTTGAGCTTCTGTATGCCACCATCACAAAGGGAAGATGTTTGTCCCAATATCATGGTTTTCGTCTGTATATATGCTCAACATGGCAGCTAGGGTACGATTGAAGCATTTCGACCTGGCCATTTGCCTGAGGTCGGAGAGAAGTGGTTCTTGTTTTCACCACTCTAACAATTTGCATAGTTCCTGGAACAAATTGGCTTCATACTGCCTACCCTGATCACTATGTATGAATTTAGGGGTACCATAACGACACACCCACTCCTCAACAATTTTGCTTGGCCACTGTCTTTGCCTCAATATTTGGGATGGCAAAGGCTTCTGTCCACTTAGTGAGCGAGTCAGTAACAACAAGTATATACTTGTTGCCAGCTGATGTGCGGTCCATTGGACCCATGATGTCAGTGGTTAGTCTCTCCATTGGGGAGCGGTGGTATACTCCTTCATAGGAGCTTTTTGTTTCCTTGGACTCTTCCTGGCGACACACTTGTCACACTGAAGGCAGTGATCTCGGACAGCCATCTTCATCCCTACCCAGTAGTAGGACTGCTCAGCTTTGGTGAATGTCTTCAGGGACGCCAAGATGCCCTCCTAAAGGTGAGTTATGACAAGCTTCAAGGACTGCTCTCGTCTGATGGATGGTATAACTATTTGCCATCGCCACTCCTTTCCATCGTTGCTCTCCCATCTCCTATGCAACACACCTTGCCTAACTGACAAACGGTGGAACTGACCCCATAGGGCTTTGCATGCTTCAGACAGTGCAGAAACTGCCTCCCACTCGGGGGCTTTGTTTTGTTGTCTAGCTTTCAAAATTGGGCTGATATCTGGGTCTTGAGCTGCAACTCTCTCATCTCTTCACAACTGAAACCCATATCCTTTTGTTTTGCAGATTGGGATCTGGTGATAGCAGAACAGAAAGCCTTGATGTCAGGAACCTCTACACTGCATGGTCCGTCCACTCTCCTGCATTGTGGGCATTGCTCACAGGGACGACGGCTCAAGGCATCAGCATTCCAATGTTTCC